ATCCGCCTGCCAAGCAGGAGACAAGGGTTCAATCCCTGGAGAAGGGAATGGTGACCCACAAGTATTCTTGCCTGGAGAATCCCATGAACAGAGGAACGTGGTGAGCTACAGTCCATGGGGTTGCAGAGAGCTGGACATGACTTAACAACTAAAGAACAACAATTAGAGCAGCTTGTCTCACAGAAACAGAATGCTAGTCATGTCGGTAACTTAGAAGGTTCTAACAGCCACATTAAAGAGTAAAACAGAAACATGAGTGATCAATTTTAACCTTATTTAACACAACATATCCAAAATATCATCATTCCAACAGGTAATCTAGTGAAAAGTTAGTAATGGGATATTTTACATCCTTTTTGTTGTACTAAGTTTTCAAAATCTGGTATGTGTTTGATCTTACCCTTACTGCACATCTCAATTTCAACTGGCATACTTCAGGTGCTAGGAGTCACGTATGGCCAGTGGCTGCCGAAAAGGCCCATTCTACAGACCCCAGAGGTCTCACTCTCAACTATTCCTACATCCCCACGGCCTTTGCTGTCTCATTTGGGCATCATGACTTTATAACAAGCACCGGGAGACACTGGAGCCTTTTGTCCCTGGGAAGCCAGAGCTCTGGCCTCAGTCCCACGGCTGTGAGTGACACTAGAACCCAGATCTAACCCAACAGTCAAGGTAGGCCTCTGTGGGGAGGGGTGGGGGGGGGTGGTCCTTTGTGCTACAGGGGAGCCCCAGAGCCAGTAAGGGCGGCTCTCACGCCCTGGAGATGAGGGTACACACTAGGTCACTCTCTGCCAGGTCCATCACACGAGAAGGATGGGGCCTGGAGCCTGCCCCTTCTGGGCCAACGCCTCCCATCAGGGCTGACACATTTCCTGATCGTGTCCCCTGGAGACAGAAGCACCTGGGAGCCCTGAACCCTTCCAGGGAGCTGGTTCCAGCAGCCTGAACTTATGCCTGTGTGATGGCCCTGGTGTGGCTCAGAATGTGATGGGCAGAGTCCGAGTGAGCGGGGTTCTCAGACACTGCCCTGCTGCAAGGTGAAGGCTCACTACCTCAGAAGCCCGGGGCCACCCCCAGAAACGACGGAGCCTCAGCAGGCAGACAGTAGGGCTAATCTCTGTCTCACAGGGTGGTCGTGGGGATTCACTGAGATAAGGCATGTTTAGTACGGAGCACAGTTGCCAGACACAGATAATAGCTACCATGTATTATTTATCAAGCTACAAAATGGAGAAAATAATACCTAGTTTGCAGGGTTGTGGTGGGGGAAAAACAAAAAAGAACAATGGAATTTGTATCATTATCTTTAGGGCACAGGGCCAGGCAATTAGCAGACTCAGGAGAAATGTGGGTTTCCTTCTCTGCCTTGAGCTCCCATTACTGGGTCTAGAGCTCTGCTTTCTCTAAGAGGCTTGCAGCATCCACATAACCTTGGTGACGCCCCCTTCTCCTAATTCCTAACCCCTCCACTTTCTTGGGGGCCGGTGGATGGGAAGCCTAGGGAGGCAGAGAAGGGCCCCCATGGAGACATGACAGGCTTCCTTGAGAAGGAAGCCCCCTTCCTCTCTCCAGGAGAATGTCTCCAGGATTGAACAGGAACCAGAAGATAAGGGGGTTGGATCCCTGAGGAGTGAGAAATCCCAAGTATGTGGTTTAAGAAGAAACCGTCCCACCCAGTCCCTTTCAAATCCAAACATCCTGCAGCTCAAATCCCCCTCTGCCCTCGCCTGTGTGAGATGAAACCCGGGAAAGAGGTTGGAGGCTGCCGGCGAGTCGTGCCCACCCCGCACTGTGCCACCTAGGGTGCCTACACGGTCTCTGCCTCTGGGATCAGTGTCAGGTGTGGTGGGAACCCCCCCCATCCCGCCCCGAGCCGGGCACTTACACTCCCCTTCCTCCCCACCCTCTCATCAAACACCCCCCACAACCCTGCAGGCTGGGAGCCTCTCTCCCCATTTCACAGAGGGAGAAGCTGAGGCTTGCAGGGAATGATGAACCATCAGGGCCCCAGAGCCAGTAGGCAGCAGAGCTGGCATTCCCAGACCTCTGGCTTTAAAATGGAAGCTGCTAGTAGGCAAGAAAAAGCCAATAAGCTCTATCTCGAATTCCGATCTCTGGGTGTGCTCTCTAGGTACAAGCAGGCCCAGGTAGGCTGGGCTGAGATGACCCAGGACAAAGGTCCCCCAAGGCTGTTTAGCACTCATTCATTCATGCAAAAATTATTTATTGAGTCCCTCCCTGCCCTGAGCCTGGACAGCGCTGGGGCGATAAACATAAATAAGCTACAGCTGTTGCCCTTGGGACTCTGAAGGAGGTCAGGTCGGGGGAGGAGAGGTGAACAGATGATTCAGATACTGGGCGTTGAGCAGATGAGAAAAGGTGGAAGGACAGAAAGCAGGCAGAGGTGAGGCAAGACGGCTCCTGTTGCCTGTGGGATACAGGAAAGGCCGCCTGGGAGCTGAGTGGTCTCGGGGAGCGTGCCCGGCGCAGAAGGGGTCTGAGGGTTCCCAAGGGTTTGCTGTCACCCCCAAATTAGACGAGAGGAAATGGAAGCTCAGAGAAACTTGGCTCGAGGTGGCCCAGCGAGCACAGCTGAGCAGGGGTGCTGCAGCTCCTCCCTCCCCAGGGGTGGACGTGGGCCGGGCTGGAAGCACCCCACTCCTTCCTCGGAGACCAGTACTACGAGCACCTCTTTGCCTTCTGTCCTGAACTGTTGTTGACCCAGGTCACTCCTCCCAATGAGATGTCACCCGCCAACCCTCTCTGCTTGACAACTCCCCACCAAAACCTTTTCCACTTCCAAGAACTAACGGAGATGTCATGACAGTCCTGACTTTGCAAGTAAATTCAGATTTAAAGTAATCAATAGCATGCAAACGCTGTATGTATCCCTTATACAGACCCCACCCCCCACCCCACTCCCCACACCTTGTCTTCTCAGTGAACAATGAACTCTTGTGTCTATTAACTTTTTTTTTTCTGAAGACAGGGTGAGTCACCTGCATGCCCACCATACCAAATTTCACAGGAATTTCCTAGCAGAGGGGCTTAACACTGCTGAGCAGCTACACAGAGGCTAAGGGAGATCCCAGCTCGTGGCTGGGATTCAAATGCCTGGGCTCACAAGGAGTTCAGTCCAGCACCCACTAGGGGCTCAAGCGTATTATTATTTGTAAAATCCTAGAGAAGGCAGGTATCACTGGAATCCAATGCTCCCGTTTTATCAATGGCAGAACCAAGGCTCAGAGAAGTTCTGACTCACTTGTTGACCCGAAATCCCAAGAGGCCTGGTGACGATGTCCTAGGGAAGGGCTGGAGGAACTGGCCCGATAAAGCATACACACGGATGCAGGTGTCAAACCCCCACCTGGGGGAAACCCCATTCTGCGGTCACCCAGAGAGCAGAAGCCAACCTCCACTGCTTCTCAGACGGCCTGGCGGGTGAGCGCACGTGGAAGGTCAAGCCTCCATCCTGGCCTCGGCGTCCACCAGCTCCCCCACTCCCAGCAACAAAACCGAAAAGGGCAGTGGGAGGAGCTGAACATGACTGCCACTTGCGGGGTGAGGGGGGCAGGTTACTTGTGCAAGTGCCAAAGTCCATTAAAAAAAAAACACAACAACGGGAATGCTAAGTCGGTGGCCTGGGCACAAAGTTCAAACTGGATTTGTCTGGGACCAGAGATCATGAGTGTTCCAACTCCCTGGGGTCAACCCCCTGCCGGGGTGCTCTGACCCTACCCCCAACCTTGCCAAGGCCAGCTTGGCGGCGGCAGGAAGTGGACACCCAGTGGCCCTGGCATTCCCAGCACCCAGCTCCGGCTGGACAGGGCTCCTGGTGACCTCACTTCTACCAAACCAGTTGGTCCTCTCGGGCTCCACCTTCAAACTGAAAGGCTGAACTGTGCCCTTTCTGTGTCACGGGAGGCTCCTACCGGAACCACGGACACCCCTGCCAGCAGGTGGAGAGCTGGTAAAGCCGAAGAGGCCCAGGGGAGGCCCCGGCCCTCCTCCTCCCAGTCTCACCTTAAGGCCGCCCCTACTCTCTGGGCAAGGAAGGCTCAGTACAAGTCCTGTTTCTCCTTGCCCCTCCTGCAGCTGATCCAGACTGGGGTTATAAACACCCAGCGTGGGCAGAAAGCAATCAGCCTGCTTGCTGTCCAGGGCCTGGAGTGGGACAGCCAGTGCCAGGCAAGACCACCTGCCTGTGGTGACCTCCTGGCTGCTGTCCCGCACCCCACCCCCACAGCCAACCACCTCTCCAAGGTCTTCCCTCCTGCTCCCAGACAGGAGCTAGCTTACTCCTCACATTCCTGAGAATCATAAATCCTCCTGGGGGCTGAGCTGCCACCACCCCCGGACCAGACGCCCCAGCACCTCCTCCCTCAGCCCCGCCCCCACCCATCTCCTGCAGATGGTGGAGCTTCTTTCTTAGAAGTCAGGCTGGACTTCAGGAGGATGAAGTCCACCAGGCTGAAGTTAATGATACACAGGCCAGCGGGCTGTGGGGAAGGGGGGAAAGGGCCCCCTCCCCTCCCACCGCTGCGGCTCCACACCGAAAGAAGGTGGTTATTTCTCCAGCTTTTCGAAGTCCAGGCCGCTTCATTTACCACCCCCGGGGGGCCTGTGGAGGGAGCTGGCCACTCAGAGGAGGGGTGGAATTGGGGGTCCCAAGGGATAGGAGCAGACAGCCACCAACAGAGTGGAGGAAAGGGAGACTGGTTCCCTTGAGCCGCCCTCCTTCACCCTCACTCCCTAAGGCGCTCAGGGTCCCAGCCCAGCTTGGGGATGGGGCGCAAGGGTCGTGGGACCCAGCCTGAAGACTATAACTGCCAGTCGGCCCGGTGGGCGGCCGGAAGCAGTCTCGCCTCCGAAGATCGAGTTTCAGAAAGACAAGGCGGGGAGCAGGGCTGGGCATCCGGGGCGCCTGGGTCTCCCCACTACTCTCCTTCCCACCCGGTTCCATCCAGCCTCGCCGCGAGGCCCGGGCCCGCACTTACCCGCTCCTGATGGCTCTGCTCGGCCTCTCGAGGCTCTGGCGCGGCGGACGGCGGCTCATTTTCGCCGCCAGCCCCCCGCTCCTCGCCGGCGGCGGCCGGCGGTTCGGCCTGCCCGGGTCCTTCCTGGGCACGCAGCATCTCCTCCCGGACCTGGACGCCCAACTTCTGCAGCCGCTCGTCGGTCTCCGGGTCGACCACCAGCAGGCGCACGGAGTTGAGGGCGGCACGGATGCGGTTCACCACCTGCTGGTGGGTCTCCTTCTCCACGTTCTCGCCGTTCACCTCCACTAGCCGGTCTCCGGCCAGCAGTCCCGACTTCTCGGCCGGCGAGCCGGGCTCCACCAGCCGGATGTACTGGCCTACCTTGCCCTTTTCCCCGTGCAGGTGGAAGCCGTAGCCGTTCGGACCCTTCTCCAGGCAGCAGAGCCGGGGCAGGGGCGCCCCGGCCGCCGCGTCCGCGCTCATTTCGCTTGGCAACGGCTCAGTGGCGCTCAGCGGTGTACAGTCGGGGTCCGAAGGCGGGACGGTCCAGCTCCGCGTCTCACCCTGCGGGCCGGGAGGCGAGGGTGAGAGCGGCAGGGCAGCCCGGCGACGCCGGACGGGCCAACAAGCGAGCAGGTGTCCCGGGAGCCGCGGCGGCGAACGGCGAGGAGCCGAAGCCGGGACTCAAACACCGATCCCGGCGCAGCGACTGAGCGTTCCAGAAACCGCCCGGGCCGCATATCCCGGGGGCGGGGCCACGCGGAGGGTGTGGACCGCCGGGGGCCAATCAGAGGCCTCCCACGGGAGGCGCTCTGGCCGGGTGAAGGACGCTGGCCAATGGGAGCACTCGGGGGCGGGGCTCCGGGGTCCGCTCGGCACCCCGCGGCGGGAGAAGAAAGAGCGCTCAGGAAGTGAAGTGTTTGTTACCGAGTGGCCGCAGTGCAGGCCCGGGGAGGGCCGCTGGGTGCGGGGCGGGGGAGTTCCTGGTACCGGGCCGGGTGGCTCGCGAGATCGGTTCTGACTCCCCCCCTCCGCCACCACCACCACCTGCGTCAGGGATTGAGCGCGCCAACCCTCGGGTAAAGGACCCTGAGGCTTTAACAGCCTTCCGCCAAAGTGTGCATCTGCAGTTGGGGGGTGAGGGTGGGGTGGGGGCGACTGTTGCTAGGAAAACCAATCCGGCCCGGCGCTGCGAGGTCCCCACAGTTTTACTGTGGTCCAGGCTCACCTCGGACCCAAGAGAAATGTTGTTCTAATAACAATATTTTCCTGTTTGTGGGGCGCTTGGCGCTGTCCCAGGACCTGCTAGTAGGGGGACGGGCTCCGATCTTCGCTGGGACAGTGTGAAGGTCCAGCAGAAAGCCCAAGGCCTCAGTGGGACTGCCCAGCGAAGACTGGCCACCAGGGTCAACGGTGTATCGGCGTCAGCCTTTGGCTAGGGCGGTGGGGGAGGGGAGAGGCAGGTCAGAGTCTGGTAGCCGATCTCTGGGTACAGAGGAGCCCTGGCGTTTTTCAACAAAGAAAGTAAGATGGTTAGGACCGTGAGGTAATAAACCTTCTTTCAGCTCCTACTTTCACATGCGAGGCTGGTCACAGAGGCTGGGGGCCGTCTGTTAAGGGTGAGGTGACCAGTTTGGGGGAGGGGTGGGCATTGAAGGATGAGGATCAAATGATTTTGGCAGTTAGTGACAAGCAACAACGATCCTTTCAACATGAACGGCCCCCGCCCTCCCCCTACCCCCACATCACGTCCACCTCAAAGAAACAGTGGACAGGGTGTACTTTCCACAAAATACTGCCATTTAATGCTGGAAAACACAAATGCTAGAGGCCCAGAGCAGCCCATGTGACTGGATCCCTGCAACCTGCCTTGGGCCCCAGAAGAACCCTGCAAGGTCAGGCTCCTCCCTGCTCCGCCTGGAGAGCTTCCTTATCGGCCTGAGTTGGAGCTGCTGACTTTGCTCAAAGAGCAAGATTTCTGCTTTGAAAGCAAATGCAGCAGCCTGAGAAATGGGCAGTACGTACCTTACACACCCCTCTCCCGGCTCCTGGTATACAGAGCCGGAGTAGAGGTGTCTCTGGGTAATAATCTGCACAGCTCCTGACCTCGTCCCAGGGTTGAGGTCAGGGCTTGGGGAGACCTGTGACCTTGGCGCCACAGAAACTCCTTGCAGCCCCTCTCCCCACCCAGATCTTACTAGCCAGACCTTGTTTTGCATACAATGTGTTGATTTACCCGGAAATAAAGGACCTCTTACTCCCTAAGATGGCTCAGTTAGAAGGGAGATAAAGCAGTTTGGGCTCTAAGATCTGTGGGTCTGTCTGTCTGAGAGAAAAGGAATGGGGGAGGTCAGGGAGGAGGCGGCACTTGGGTTTGGGGTTACACAATGGTGTGAGGTTTGCTCACTTCTGCCTCCTGGATCAGGGTTTTCTCCGCTTTCTCTTTATTGGGCTCGTTTGTCCAGTAGAAGCACTAGAGCTGCTCGAAGAAGTAGCTTGTGGGCTGCATACCTGCCAAAGGGTTGGGACCAGAATAACTTTTTCCTGTCTGTAACCTTAGGTGTCTGGAGACATAGATGGAAAGGTAGAAAGATAAGGCCAGGGATTCAGGGAGGAGGGGCTCCTCTGGGATCTGAGGTTCAGAGAACAGGAACCAGGTGTTTCCAGGTGCCTTCATGTGTTTGTGGGCTGGAGGAAAAGGGGTACACCTCCCAGAAGGGGGGCCAGTAAGCCTATCTGTTTGGCTACAAACAGATAGACCTAATCTCTGCTACTCCTCTCCTATCTCCTCATAGGGAGCCAGGTTCTCTTGCCTAATCCCCACATCTCTTATCTTCCAGAGGCTTTGGTCTGACTCCCAGCACAAGGGCTCTGTTTTATTGGGGAAGATTGCTCTCTGGGGAGCTGGAGGAAATGAAGGCCTGGGTTTGCTCAGCCTCTTGCCAGCTGAAGGACTGGGGTGTGGGGGGGTGGGGTGTCACTACTTCCCTTTATGCCCCAGAAGTGCATCAGTGCCCCCTGGTGCTGAGCTGGAGCAGTACCACCCTCATGGTGGTCAGGAGGGAGGCCCAGGCCCCTAAGTGCTAGTACTAGAAGGCCAAAGGACCACCACCAGCTCTCTGGCTTGGTTTTTCTGATGCCCTGTTGATTAAGGTATGTGTCATTAAAATGAAAGATAAATATTTTGCCCTCCCCTGTGGACACAGGGAAGCTCCAGGAGCTAGGGGAGGGGCAGGAGTCTGGAGGGGCTGTGCAGGGGGTCCCCCAACTCTTTCCCCGCTGGCTCAGCTGCTCAGAAGAAGCCAGGTCTGGGGGTGCAGGGGGAGGCTGCATGGAGCTTCCTTTCAGACCCTCGGGATTCACAGGAAGGAGCAGCAGCTGGGCCGCTTCTTCTGGGACTCCACGTAGTCTCGGATCTGGAAGCTGGGCTCATCCGCCTGCTGCCCGGCTCTGTATTTCAGCTCCCTTGAAGAGGAAGGAGAAGTGGGCTGGGCAGCCAGTGGGGAGCTGAGCCTTGCCCCAGTCCCACGGCCTCCGAACGCAGGCTGTAGATAGACCCAGGGACTGGGCAAGGGGCCAGGCCCCATTGGACCCCAGATGGCGCCACCCTGCCCTGCACACTCTCCTTCCCAGCTCAGCACTCACTTGGCAATGGCCAGAAAGGCTAGCTCCACATTCATGCCCGTCTTGGCGCTGGTCTCCATGAAGGGAACTCCATATTCCTGCCAGGGGGAGAGCGTGCTCCGTGGCCAGTCTTGGGTTGCTCCCATCCCTCTCTCCCGCCCCCCGGTAGTCACTTACCCTGGCCAGCATCTCTCCGTCCTCTGAGCGGATCACCCTTTCACTGCTCACATCTGCCTGTCAAGCCCAGGTGGGTCACTCTGGGGGAAGGACGCCTTGACCCCAAGCTGGCCCCTCTCTCTGCCCTGGGAGCAGGACCTCCTGCCCTCTGCTGGTGGTCTGCGGCACTGCAGGTGGTCTGATCCACCCGGGGCCAGGACCCCCTACTCAGGTTCTTAGCTCCCAGCAGGGGGATCTCACCCCAACTTAGAGAGATGGTGGGTAACTCTGCTTGGCAAAGGGGTGGTGACCAGCTTCAAAGGGATGGCAGTAGTTGAGGTTAACCCTCTCCCATCTCAGATCTTCATCCATGTATCTAGTCCCTAGGATCTAACAGAGTAGCTGGGCATTCCTGCACTACTCAGGAAACAGCTCTACCTTTCCCTGCAGGGGGCCAATTCCAAAGCTTTAAGAGGGCAGGTGAGATGGGCAGAAGCCTGCAGATAGGTCTGACCTCTGAACTGGAGGCTGTAAAGGGTCCTTTGCTGGCAGGATGTCCAGCAATTACTCTGGTGGCTGTGGGGGAGGGTGGGCCGACCCTGCCCTGGAGCCACTCACCTTGTTGCCCAGAAGCATGATCACCACATCCCTCTGGGCGTACTCGTGAATCTCAGTGAGCCAGGCCTGTGAGAGAGGGCGTGCTGAGCCGCAGCCATTCTCCTCCTTCCCCCGGCCTTCCCTGCGTCTCCCCTCTGGATCCTCCTAGGCTACTCACTGCCCCCGATCACTGAACACGATACCCTGGGCCTTCTCTCTCCTGCATCTTTGCTCGGGCCTCTCTCCAGCCCTGAATAGCTCTAAACCCCTTACAGTGTAACTCTCAGTTCTATGGAAGATAGAGGAGGTACAGGCTTTATGTTCTAGATCAGCTCTAGTCACCAGCACTCTCCTTGAGTGCTCCGTAGAGGATTCTGAGGCCACGTAATGGCTCGGTGATCAAAAATACTGTGATCGATTAGAGTTGTCTGCCATGCCCATGGGGTTGGCAGTAGGGATGCCATGGGTTCCATCTAGTTGGTAAGCTGTTTTATCTCTATATGTCTGGTTTCCCCGGTTTGCTTGCCAACCTCTTGAGGTCGGAGAGCACGTGAAACCTTCACTGTACTGTGCACAGAGTCAGTGCTTATATTTATTGAATTATTGCCTCGACTACTGGATAGTTTGCTTGTGAGGACAGATCCATCATTTTTGTCTGCCTGAGTCACTTTCTAGAAACTTGGGCTGCATATACGGTAGACTTTTTCTGCTTGGGCTCTCCCCTTGAGCTCTTGTCCAGGGTGGAGCTGGGGACTTTCTGAACATGCTGTCATGAAGTGCACTCATGAATCACAGGCAGGGATAAAGCAAGTGGCACACAGCCTGCTTGGCCTTCATGCCCACATGCCAATCAGCTGCCCACGAGGAGTTTATGACTTCTGAGTCACAGCTTGGGTGTTTTTAGGGAGGCAGCAGTATTCCAGGCTCCACCCATTCCCACAGAGCAGGAAGCGGTCCTGCCCTGCTGGCTCCCGAGAGTGGTGAGTGGTGGGGTAGGGAGAACCTACCCGGATGTTGTCGAAGGAAGATTTGTTGGTGATGTCGTACAACAGGAGCAAGGCTGGAGGGGGAGAGAGAGGTCACGCGGGGCTGGGGGACTTGGGGCAGAAGGGTGACTGTTACAAGTGGGCTGGGGGAGCGGTGAACTGCCGGAGGCCCTTACCCTGGGCGTCTCGGTAGTAAGCGTGGGTGACACTGCGGAACCGCTCCTGCCCTGCGGTGTCCCAGATCTAGGGAGGGAAGGACAAACAGTCAGAAGTGGGCAGGCACTGTGCTGGGCAGAGAAAACCCTTGTTGTGGTACCAGGGGTGGGAGGTGAGAGGTTTCTTTCTTTGGTTTCTCAGGGGCCTGTGAGCGCCTGGTGACGTCCCAGATGGTGGTGGTTAACGAGTTAATGAGTTCTCCAGCTCGTCTGATGCTGTTGCCCAGAGTGGTGAAGCCCAGGGATTAGGGGTGTCCAGCCTCCTAGAGCATGTGAGGCCCGTGACACTAGGGAGGATTTGCAGCAAGCCTAAGCTTGTCTGAAGACATGGAGCTGCTGCCTTTGACAGAAGAGAGGGGCCTGGGAACGGCTTTCTCTGCAGACATCAAACAAACAAAAGCCGTTTCCTCTCCTGGGCCCCACAGGAAATTACCCCAGGCTGAGGGCAGGGCTGCGGGCCTCCTGTGGGTGGGTGAAGAGCCCGGGCAGGCGCCCCCCCCCTTGAGCGGCCCCCCTCCCCGACGCCCCAGCTCTCCCAGCCGCTGGTCTCACCTGCAGCTTCACCCTCACGCCATCCACGGCCACCACCTTGTTCTGGAAGACAGAAGGGCAGAGGGAGAGGTGGGTGCTCAGGGCGGCGGAGGCGGCTTGGCTTCCGCGTCCTGCCGAGTCCTGCACGACAGCAGGCGTCCTGCGGCTGCTCCCCCAGGGTGCCAGGGTGTCTGCCGAGCCCGGAGGTGTCCCCGTCAGGGCGGTGGGACTCTGTCCCCAGGCAGCCCTCCTCTGTGGACGCCGGCTGTCCTTCTCACACCACACCAAGGCGAGGGAGCCCCAGAACCTGCCGGCCCCGCGCCTCCAGGGCTCAGCGGGGCACGCGGGCCGAGCCCTGGAGGCGGGGGTGTTCCTGCCACTTTCCTGCTTCTGTCTGCCTCTCCCAGGGCTCAGGCTCAGCACTGTGAAGTAGCTCTTCGAGGTGAGGTTCCCACCAGCATCTCAGAAACCTCAGCGGGTGGATCTGCAGGGCTGTCTTTGCCCTGGTCGCCCTCTGGCTCTCCCGCTAGGTGAAGCTTCCCCTCCTACTGGGAGGAGGCACCCGGCCTCTGAGAGCCCCGCTGCCAGGGTTAGGCCTGAGCCCTCCTGGCCCCTGGGGCTGTGTGGCGCTCAGAGTGCTCGGCAACCCCGATGCCAATCTGTTGATGCCAACCCAAGATGGGTTCTCCCTGGTGAGGGGGCAGGATGCCGGCCGCTGCTCTCTCCCCGTAGGACCAGCCCGGCTCCTCAACCTCCTGCTCTGCTGCGCTGCCCTGAGCTCCAGAAAGACCGGGCGCTGACCTCACGTCCCGGCAGTGTGGGGTGTGTGGGGGTGTGTCTGCCCTGCTCAGGGGCAGGATTCTAAGATGCAGTCTCTCATTTCTCATTCTGTAGGGGGGCAGGGAGCCCCACCAGCCCAGACGCCTCTAAGCTGGCCACCTCTAGGGTGAGCCACTGCAGACCTGAGGGGTCCGTGCAGGGGGGAGAGGACAGACCCCCCATCCCCCCCGTGCCTGAAGCTGTGACCCCTGGTTCACCGCTGGGAGGAGGAGCCTGCAGCCACCTCACCCTGAAGTCTATGCCGACGGTGGCTATGAAGGTCCCGGACAGGAAGGCCCCGTCTCTGAATCGGATGAGGAAACAGGTTTTGCCGACGCCCGAGTCTCCCAGAAGCATCACCTAGGAGGTGGGGGCAGAGGCAGTTAATGGGGCACTGGGGCGAGATTCTGGGCTCCCAGGGAGGGCCGGGGAAGGATGCTGAGCCCCAAGGGGGCGTCTGCTTCTGGAAAGCCTGCCGCCTCCTGCTCTCCCCGACTCTCCTGGGCTCCCGCTGGCCTCCCAGCTGCTCCCTTGGACCCTCCTGTCCTCATCTGGCTTCTGGGATGTCAGGGTTGAGACCCCAGAACCAAGAGGTCCCCAAATGTGCTTGGTGGCCCCGAGTACAACCACATTCCGTGCGTCTAGACTCTGGCCCCCTTTGCCCCGCTCCACGCCATGCCGGGATCCCATCCTTTGCTGTGTGTTCCATGCCTGCTTGCACACGTGGGCGGGGTCATGGTGCCAGAAAGAGAAGCATTAATATTTCAGCCAGGGATTCCCACCCAAGGGAGGGTATCAGGATCTGAGGTGGGTAGGCCTCTGTTAGTTGCCAAGGCATATTCTAAAATTGCTCGCGTTCCAGTGTTTTATTTTTGGTCACCTTTATTTGGAAGTTCCTAATGACATTTTCTGTTTGTAAAAGCCTTGCGTGAATTAGGGAAGGCTGAAATTTATACTAAGGTGGAGAGACATTTGGCCTGAAACGCTTTCCGCAGTAACCTCCCAAGTGGGACAAGTGGCTTGCAGGGGGGGGTGGGGGGCGGGAGGGAGTGTGTGCGTGTGTCTGCCTGTTTACTGTCTGGCCAGTCTCTGCTCCTCTCTGCTGGGGGTGGGGTGGGGATGGGGAGGGAACCCCTCTGTCCTGTCACTCCTCAAACTCAGAGAACAGGGGTTGAGACCCAAAGCTGGAATTTTTTCCAGCTGGCTGAATAGATGCTTAATGGGTGGAGCAGGGACTAAGGTTTAAGTTCTTTTGGGGGCCTTGACCTTGCCCATGGAGCCCAGAGGCTTTCCTGCTGTGACCATGGGGTATGGGATTAGCTAACCTGGTGGCAGATGGGCAGTTGAGCAAAAGGTGCATGAAGGCTGGGATCCCGGCTTGTACGTGGGTGACTGGGGACTTTGGGAAGATCCCTTAACCTTTCTGTGGCAGTTCCCACAGTGGTTAGAAGGAAGGATGGATGATTTCTTGGAGTCCTTTCTAGAGTCTGTTAGTGGCTAGGGTCAAAAATGTTGGCATGAACCACCTGAGATTCTGGAAGTGTGGCCCAGGGGTGGGGGCTGCCTGCCTGTGGCCTCATCCTTCCTAACCCTTCCCAAGGAGCTTCCACCAGGCTCCTCCTAGATGATCCAAGACTCAGTCTCCTTGGCAGGCCTCAGGTATGAAGGGGGCTGGGGCCAACTCTCCACAAAAGCCCACTTGGCCCAAGGGACAGACGGTGGGCTGGGGGCTAGAGAGCTCTTTGGAGCCTGCATGGCTCCCTGGTTCCTGGGTACCAGTACCTGATGGGGCAGGAGGGAGAGAGGGAGGGAAGGCAAGCACCTGTGTACTTTAGAGACCACAGCTGCCTTGAGCAAGTGATGCCAACCACCCACCCAGCCAGGCAAGTCCACCAAACACAAACAGTTGCCCAGCCTCGCCACCTCCTAGGCAAACACCCAGCTGGCTGGTCAAGCAAGGTCAGGCAGTGCCCCATGGCCCAGGACTGGTTCTCAGTGGCTCCCCCTCCCCTGAACACACTGGGGGCCCATTTCCTGCCTGCAGCCCGCACCGGGGACGCCTATCTCAACGGCTCTGGGCGGGTGACTTGTGTACTCGCTTCCCCTGAAAGAAGGGGGTGGGGGTGGTGGAGGGAGGAAAGCAAGGCACAGAGAAAGCAGGTCTCCTTCAAGGTCATGCCGCAGGAGACAGGCCGGCCCCCTCATCATCTCTCCCCGACCCTGCGGAGGAAGAGTGGAGGCTCTGGGCTCCCTCTTTCAGAGATCCCGGTACCTGTCTGCTCCCAGAGTGCAGAGGAAGGGCAGACAGCTCAGTGTCCACCAGCAAACACCCCTCTTTCCTCCAGGGCCACCCACAGAAGGAACCAGGCCCAGAGAGCTGACTTAAACTCTCCCAGGTTGGGGTACCAGTGCCTAACCGCTCCCATCATTCTCAGGGTTTAAAAATTCCCAGGTGAGTCTACTGTTCTGGCTAGCAACATCCTCCCAGGAGAAGGCGTGGGCAGCTGGCTGCAGGGGTGGGAGGGGAAGGGGTCGCACCTGGGGGCAGCTGGGGTCCTAGTCCACCCTGGGAGGAGGGCATTAACGCGCGCGATCCCCCGCTGTCAGGGGGCGTCCCTTCGGAGTCTCTCCCAGCGCTTGGGGGTGCCTGTGCCCTGGGAGAGTTGCAGGCTCAGGGGCTAGCGAGAAGCCCGGGGTTCCCCGGGCTCGCACTGGCCGAAGTGAGGCAGAGGGAAATGGGGCTGGGGTCCTCCGGGGGTGGGGAGTCACCCAGTACTTCCTATGCTCCTCTCCCCTCTCCCAGATCCCTGGACGTTGGCGTGGGCCCCGGGGGCTGTCTCGACCCTCCCCCGCTTACTCTGAGAAGACCCGGGGGTGAGGGGGGCTGGGGGGTGGAATGGGATGAGTCCAATGCAGACGCAGCCAGAGAGGAGCTGGGGCCCGGAGGGTCTAGGAGCGAAGGGCGAGGGGAGGGGCCGCCCCCAGAGCCGGCACCGGAGTCCCCAGCGCTGGGCGCGGGGCCCACCCACCTTGCCCGTGAGATCGTGGCTCGGCCCGCAGGGTGGGGAGCGCTCGAGGGCCTCGCCATCCCGGGTGGCCGCGGTGCCAGGCGTGCCCGTCATGTCCCTGGACCAGAGGTGAGCTGGGGCCCGCGGCGGCCGAGGGACCAGCAGGAACCGCCCCGCCTGAAGCTCCGCCCGCTTCTTCTCCCCTCCACCGCCCCGGGCCGGGACCCCGACAGGCTCCTCCCTCCGTTCTGCCACCTGAACAACGCTGGCGGGGAGCTGGCTGTCCCGCGGGGGCGCGCAGGACCGCAGAGTCAGCTCTCGAGGGGGCAGGCAGGCCCCTAGAGCCGCAACAATCGGAGGGTGTAGGCCAAATCCAGCCTAGAACCGCTCCCCAAGGTCGCCAGCTGCCAGGGTTAGGGTCCCACGGAGAGCTGTCCCTGGGGACCCCGCCTTCTGGGGAAGGTCTGGCATCACTGGGACCGCGGGCCGGCGCCCGGGTTGTGCCTGCCCAGCGCGGCCAGCAGGCGACGCCCGAGCTCCATCCGGCCCGCGGTCCACAGGTGCCTGGCGGGGGGTGGGTTGGGGGCGGGGTCCGGGGAGCCTGGAAACGCCCCTGGGCCGCGCGGTGCCGGGTTCGAGGGCACGCCTGCGTTCTGAGCTCAGCTCACAGACAGTTTCGCTTTTGCTAGTCGCCCTAGCTCGACGTCATCCGAATGAAATTGTGTGCACCGACCGATGGGCATTCACTCTGCAGCACACTTGCTTGGGCCCCCGGCCGGTGCTTGGATTTTGACACTTCCCCTGTTCCCCCCCTGACCTCTTGGGCTGTGCCCAAAATGTCCCCTGCCGGGAGAGCCTTCCGAGGCGGCCTTCCCGGCACACTTCCCAATCCAGGTGCTCCTCAAGGCAGGACTAGCCTTATCCATGTGTGGCCCTCCCTTCTGGCACCTGCTGCTGCTACTGCTGCTAAGTCGCTTCAGTCGTGTACGACTCTGTGGGACCCCATAGACGGCAGCCCACCAGGCTCCCCCATCCCTGGGATTCTCCAGGCAAGAACACTGGAGTGGGCTGCCATTTCCTTCTCCACTGCATGAAAGTGAAAAGTGAAAGTGAAGTTGCTCAGTCCTGTCCGACTCTTCGGGACCCCATGGACTTCAGCCCACCAGGCTCCTCTGCCCATGGGATTTTCCAGGTGAGAGTACTGGAGTGGGGTGCCACTGCCTTCTCCCCTCTGGC